ATCTTCTGGTTCTCGACTCACCGTTCTCCTCTCTCCTTTGGCGTTTGGCACGGGGGCTCTGCTGAACCCTGCAGCTCGCTGTCTGATGAATGTATATTGACAGGAAAACGACACCAACAAAAAAAAACGGACAACGGTAATGGTGATTTAATTCTGCAGTTAGGTTGAAGAAAAAGGCTAGATGTTATAGATGTTAGGAAAAGGGACGTCGCCGAGAGCTCCGTAGAAAAATGGAGCATGTGGATGGACCGAACTCTGTAAAGGCAGGAGGACAACACTGGGGGGGGGTGGGGGTGTTCAGAAGGGCCTTGGCTGGATAGTTCAGTGGCAGGATTCAGTTCAATGCAATACTCTCTAGATGCTTATCTCCATCTGCCAGTGAACCTCTCCCGTCGTCCAGGGTGTCCCGCGGTCAGATCCGTCGCGGTGTGTCACACCGTCACTCGTGACGTCGTCTGTCGGCTCCTTTTTGTCTGTAGTCAACTGCTCGCTCTTCCACTTCCTCGCTCTTTTTAAATATATAAAGTCTATATACACATATAAATAGTAACTTGTACTTCAGTATCTACATAATATATGGAATGGACAAACTTAGTTACAGTAGCAAAACAGCAGCTTAATTAAGGTTAATTGCATCTTTCAACGTACTCAATAATGGTTTTGTGTTACAGTATCAGTTTAGATCTAGACTAATGTCGTACAGCAACTTTGTATATTGATATCCAGTACCAGTTCCTCCTTGTGGAACACTGCAGTCTCTTTTTGCTTTATTTTCTAAGGGAACGATATTTATAGTATGGAAAAAATGTATATGTGTAATGTGGTTGTGAACTTCTTGAGGTCAGCCATTTGATTATTGTGTTTTTATTGTTGTAGTGAGATGTTTTTTTTTTTGTTTGTTTGTTTGTTTGTTTGTTTTTATTTTCTTTGTACATTTTTACAGGGATTTTAGATGGCTTACTTGGTGTGGTATTATTCTGTTGAAATAGTAATGGTCAGTGAATGGATACTTAATTTTCCCCCGCCCCACCACAATATCACATAGCAAGCCTTTTCTCTGCCCCAGCCTCCTTTGCCCCATACAGGTACTCTTTCATATTCAAGTAGTCCTGGTAAATATTTTATTTATAAAGAGGAGTATTTAAATAACAATTTTAAGCAATGATTTTATCAGTTATTACTGTTGTTGTTTTGCGCTGTTTTTACCTCCCGGGCCACCGTAGATGTTGTATGGCTGCCCTGGGGTGGGTGGAGTCTGCAGGCAGCAAGTTGTTGATAATCTTGTGCTTGTAGTTCTGTGACGTTTTTGTTGGATGAAGTGGTGGGGGTGAGTTGGGGAAATTTGTAAGAGGGGTTGGTTCTTTTTTTCTTTCTTTCTTCTTTTTCTCTTCTCCACGGCCTTCATCCGAACCCTGTTCTGTCCAGGTGTTTTTTCCTGTACTCTCTCGCGTTCTTTCTCCTCCGCTTCTCAAGCTTCACCACGACGACGATGACGGTGATGAGGATAACTGTTTGTTGCTATAACTTTGTTCCAGTGTTATATCACAGAAATGAAGGAAAGACCGCTAAGTAACGATTTAAAAAAAAAAAAAAAAAAAAGTACTGACACTACTTAAGACTGAATGTAAAATAATGAAAACGAACTCTTGTACATAATTGTAAAAAGGAAAGTTTCTAATCATGTTTATTTTCTATGCACTTTTTTATTTAAGTGATAGTTTAAATAATAAACATATTCAGTTTACCCTGCCTCTGGAGTGCTTTTTTCTGCTTTAATGTTTACATTGTGCTGTTTTGAGGTTCCTTTGATCTTTAAAACGATTTTCTACGTTTAAGGCTATAACATTTGAATTTTTTTTTTTTTTACTATTAGGTGTTAAGTTCAAGATGTGGCTTAAAGACTCATACGAAGACTGGTTGGCATTGACAAGAAATTGGTTTGAGGTGAGATACAAAATATGTAAAAAGACATTCAAATTAGGTACAATGGGGATTGAGGCACTGGATTCTCACATAAGACTGAGTATGCAAGCAGTCAGAGTAGTACAGCACCAATGCGATGTTGCATGGTATCATCAGCTCCTGATATGCCTCAGACAGAGTTGGGTAATTCAGGTCCGGAGAGTAAAAGTCCAGACCAAGATTTTGTTTGAACCAACCAGTTGAGCATAAAGAGTCACAGTCACAGAGTACTCAACTGGTTGATTGAAGCAAAATCTTGGTCTGGGCTTTTACTCTTTGGACCTGAATTACCCAACTCTGGGCCTCAGATTAGCTGTAACGGTAACTACCCTCTACAGGTACTCAAACAAGTTTGTCGGTCGGTAGATTTTGGTAATTATTCACTAACAGTCGCTTCAAGTGCCAAAATTTTAAACACTGTCACTACAAAAACTCCTATGAATATAGGACCAGCTCAGTGCTTTTTGGAGCCTTAAGCAAAACCTAGTAGCCTAGTTGTCATTTGTCATCTTCCCATTCTGACAGGCTGATCAGATAGGGCGCCCCCTGGTGCCCAGTCAATTCACTTACGCCTTGGTCCGAACAGTAAAATGATGTCCCTGATTCAGAGACAGAAACTGAAAAATTTGGTACCCATTAAAAAGTTGTCATCAAACGTTAGTATCCATCTTTACTATCTGCACCGTTCTGTTTGAATAAAAGAGACTGATAGAGCTTGTGTGTGTTTGCTTTGCTGTGGAAATAGTGACATTTTCCTTTGTTTAGGTCTTTTGAAAAGCAGCAGCTCAGTTTCGGTTTGAGCTTTTTGGACTAAAGTAACCCCCACCCCCCCAGCACCATGTCCTGGAGGTCACTGAAAATACATGTTGTGAAATATCTGTGATGATTCAGTTTGCAGTAATCAGCCATGTGTGTGTGTGTGTGAGGGAGAGATGGACCACCACATTACAGAGATCCTGAGGGTAAACTTCCCTAACAGTAACCAAAAGTTTGTGTTGTTCTGTGTGCGGAGCAGCAAAGCTCAGATGTAGATCCCCCTTCCCCCTTCAGCATTGGACTCTGTTTTGTGCCAGTATGATCAATTAAAGGGAAAGCCCACTTCTGCCTGCAAGTAAAGAAATGGGCTCAGCGCCTGGCCCTTTAATAAAACATTAAAGGGACGCTCGTTATCTACCCAGAGTTTGTCCTTAAGGAACCTGCTGCTGATACAGTCAAGAGGGCAGCAGACCCGTCTGCTAATGAGCTGACTAGGCTTTGCCTCTGTTGTTTTTTTAAATTCGCGGTATTCAGCGGGTGCTCCTTAGGGCCTGAGATTTCTAGAGGGATCTGGCAACAGTTGCGCAACCTGCGGTTTGGCTGATGTTTGGGATAACGTGGGCTGGAGCAGAAGACCCCCCCCCCCCACCACCACCACCAAGAACCAAAGCTTGCGCTCTTCTGCTGACAGGTCCAAACATCCCAGTTATGGACAAATTCCTTGAGACACACCCTGTACCAGATGGTCTCGCATAAAACTGCTGGGCAGTAAAATCTCAGCCTGTATAGAACTCCCCCCCAGCCCCTCCCCCCCCATCGGCCACTTCTCATGTTTGCTGTGCCCTCAGCGACACAGCAAATTAAGCCCAATTTCCTCAAGGGAATCAGGGGTCGAGACCTGGAAGTTTGGAGAACCAGAGCTTTACATTTCCCCGTGCTCCTCTGATGACCTAGATAAGGTGATTGCAGGGCCATGGACAGGGGCGGAGCCACAGGGGCACCGGTCCCAGCTGAGAGCTGATTGGCCCCTAGAGTGCCACCTTCCTTGTCACTCACCGATTTAAGGCATCTCATTGGCTAATGATATGGGTGACCCCTTTAACTCCCCTGGGCCCTGGCTGTCCGTGTCAAGCTGGCAATTGTCAGTTGGCAGCCATGTCTAATCCTGTTCCGATATCTGGAGGCTCCAAAATCAGAGGAGACCTTTTCTCCCAGGGTTCAAAGTGCCAGTGTGGATTGCGGGATTTCATTTCTGATAGCTTGCTGCTTCTCATTCCGTACAGTTATTCTTATTAGAAACACTTTCTGAAGCAGACGTCTTTTCGGCTGACTTGTTTCAAATCGCTAAATTCTTAGACGATTGCCTAATGCCTGGTTGGCCCGTCTCTTTACCAAGAGTGTGGCTGTGATTCTCCCTTCGCCACGTCGTGTTCATTACAGGTTCCCAGCATAGGCCTGGGGTGTTTATATAAGGTTATGGTTTTGCTAAAAATGTTAATAAAGCAAAAAGTGAATTTCTCCCTGAGGCCAGGATAATGTGAATGTTTTTAAAATACAATTCATAATTCAAGGAGTTTTTGATGGTGGTTAAGATGTAATTTTTCACGACTGCTTCATACTTTCATCTTCGAAACGCAAGGGCTGTGGTCCCTGTTGCTATTCTGATTCAACCTTTTTTCTATGGAAATCACTAGATTTCCCTCAGATGCACAATGCATTCCTCCACACTTTGCCTGCAGCCGCACCTTTTGAAGTTTTCAAAGGAGCACGAACTAAACTTTATATGCGAGAAGGTAGCGGGCAGTCTCATATACTCAGACAGTCACTGTCTGAGGCGTTTGGCTTGGCCAGGGCCTCAAGCAGCAATGAGACCTTCCAGCGGAGCCTGTTTGTTTAGCTCTAGTATCCAAAGAACAGCCAGGAATGACAGTATCCCCAGATCACGCGGCCACGGCCCTCCATCTCTCTGGCTTGCCCTCTGTTTTCACTCTGGAGAATTTTTCCAGGATGAATCAAACTCTGCTGGCTGCACCATCTCCTCACCTCTTCACTCTCCGCACCTTCTTCTTCAGGCACGTCTTCTCCAGATCTTTGCACTTCCCTCGTTTTGTGCTGTCACTTTTATCCCATTTCCAGATCAAGATTGTTTGCTTTGTTTTGATTCTTCCCCTCTTTTATTCCCCATGCAAATTCCCTGGATGATACTAACTTTGCTACCTCCCCTCCCCTCTCTCCTACATTCTCTGCCCCCTCCCTTTTTCCCAGTCCCCCTCCCACCCCCGTCCCTAATTGGCTTTCATTGCCATTTCCTTCCAAGCACACAGTATTCTTTTTCTTTCCCCGTCCAAAGGCAGCCGAGAAGGAGGCTTCTTCTACTGGCCGAGCCGTCCGTCTCAACGTGGGACCTCGAACCGGTGGACCTCGTGGCAGGGGAACGTCCTGGGTGCGTCCTCCACCCCGCTAGGTCTTTTGCAGCCTGAGAACCCAGTGCGGTCGAGGGGAAGTACCCCAAGGATCTAACGAGGGTGAGAAGTTCTCGCCATCTGGACATGTGTTGACTTTGTGTTGCACACGCAGGACCGCCGAGGTGGGAGCAGGCGTTCAAGACCGACACCCCCAGACTGAGTGGACGTCCCCACAGCACTGCAGGAGGCACCCGCATCAGCCATCCTGCATTTCCTGCGACTTGCTGCTCCTGCGCTGCTTCTTCAGGTACCATAACTGCAGTTCCAAAAGCCATGACTCATATTCTTTATCTTGTCTGAGTTCAGCTATGCTATGAAGAAAACACTATCACTGACATACCTGCTACACAAGCCGACGGACAGTCAAAATACTGCGACTCGTTCTCTGAGTATCAGCGTAGTTACTGGGTTTTGCCAGTGCAGAGTGTTATTCCGTCGTGGTATAAATGCATAGCACACTTATGTGCACAGATGTTTAGTCAGGTGATTACTCGAAACCACATGCAGGTGTTTTAGGAAGAGAAGATGTTCAAAGAAACATCCTTATGAGAGGAAAGTCCTAGAGAACAAGCTGGAGGCTCCTCAAAGACTGGTTATGTTTTGAGATCTGTTATGGCCTTTTGGACGATGTTTGTACAGTTTTTTTCAACAAGAGAACTGTAACCGGGGGCTTCAGCTCTCAGTCTGCTTTCGCCCGAGGCTCTGCGTGGATGGCTTTTGCTGAGCTGTGAACTTTCGTCTTGGCGCTGATCCGGGGGCGCTGCGCAGCCGTGCAGAAAGCTGCAGACGCTGTGAGAGCATGGGGGGGGGGGGGGGCAGGCGCACAGGGTCTGCCCACACACAGAATTGCTGTTTAGCAGAATACAAAATTGTGTTTACTACCACTCAAACCATGCATTTGTGGGTGCCCCCCCCCCGTTGGCCACAAACAATCACTACACTGAAGGTATAAAGGGGTAAATTATTTTTTCGAGTGGGGCCTCAGATATAACAAATCCCTGTGCTCGTCTTCTTGTACTGGGAGGGGGCGGGGGGGGGGGGGAGGTAACTGGTCCCTGGAGGAATAGTCATATGGGACCTGCAACTAGTGGATAGGTTTCCAGTAAGCACTACTCCCTCACCCTCCCTAAAAAATACACGGAGACATCCTTTTGCTCTTTAGCGGTGTCTGCCAGAGTACAAAGGAGGGAGGAGAAAGTAGGACTATTGGAATGAAATAAGAATTCCTCCCCCACCTCTCCTACTTTACTCTCACAACAAAGGGGGGGGGCAGCTGATGTGGTTTATGTCAATATGAGCCGTCAGCACTTTCTGCTCTCAGCCTTAATGCCAAACTGTGCTCTTTTTTTTAACGAGCATGAGAGAACCCAGCTCATTTACGGTCCGACATAAACTTCAGAGAGCGAATTATGAGAAACAGACCCAGCTGGGTCTCTGTCTGTGGCCCAGTGGGTTAGGGTGTCGCGAGACCCCCCCCCCCCATACCCCGAGGGCCCTGGAGCAAGTCTACCAGGACCTCCATCTCTTGGCCAGCTTTCCCACAGCTCTTCAGCACTCCGGGGAATTTTATTGCTGGACCACATAGGTTCCAGCTGTGGACTGCGCTGCTAATCTCAGCTTGATGACTTTGCCCCGGCCTGGTAGATCCAGGAAGAGCTCTGAAGAATGTATCCGAAAATATGGAAGATTCAGATCATGTGTCCCAGGGTAATCAGCCCCGAGGGGTGCCATTAGCAGACCTCAGTCTTGATGTTTGCCTCACCGGAACAGCAAAAGGCATGATCACACACATTGTTCCATCTGCTGCCCTGTGTAGAGGAAATTTCCAAGACGGGCTTCTGTCAGGGTTCATAAGGAGCCAAAAAACAGCCACAGCTGCTGCTTAGTTTCAGCCCTTAAATGGCGTGTGACAAATCTGGTTAGCATTCTCGTTACCTGTTTTTAATTCATTTTCCCAGAAATGTTTTTGTCAGCGTTTCTCTGGCAAGGAATAAAGTTATCCATAAGTAAACGCGAGAGTTCTCCTAAGTAGTTCTCCGAAGTTCAGGAAAGGCCGTTGTAACTGATCGTGTTGAGGTCACAGGTCACCATCACTCCAGTGCGCAGTTTTAAAGCACAGCTGCTATGCAGACATGAGACTTTGCATTTTTCCAGTCATAAATATCACGCCACGGCGGAGGACGGCACTGGGCTCTGTGGGCTGCACACCTCCAGCTGTGGTTTCCAGTTCTCCCTGCATCTGTGTGGGTTTCCTCAGAGTAACCTGGCTTCTGGTTTATGGTTTAGGTGACTTGGTACCTCTGAGTTGCCCATTGGGTGTTTGACCTGCAGTGGGCTGGCATCCTGTTCATCTCCTGCCATGGTTCTTCTGCTTCCTGGCTTATTAGAAGTCTAAAATAATGGATGGATGGATGGATGGATGGATGGATGGATGGAACAGATTACAGTAAATCTTTCACACGCACTGATAGCTGACCTCATTGTGTCTCCATCCAATCCAAGGGCTCTGCCATGGCCTCCCTCAGTCTGTGGGCTGTTCTCCTCTTCTTCCTGATCAACTCTTCCAATCAACTCGAGGACAACAAGATCCCCAGCCTGTGCACTGGGCAGCCTGGGATCCCAGGATCCCCCGGGGGTCACGGCAGCCCCGGCCAGCCTGGCAGAGACGGGCGAGATGGTCGGGACGCCGCTCCTGGGGAAAAGGGAGAACGGGGCGACAGAGGAGAGCCAGGTCCGCTGCCCTTTCACCCGCCTTCAGCCTCCTGCTTTCAGTGGATAAGAATGTGTCTCACATCAGATCATATTTTCCGGCCTTTTCAGATTACAGCTGTAGTTTCCTTGAGAGCCACGGTTATTTGTTTATTCCACCGCCGGACTGATCTGGATCTTGCTTGTCTAATGTAACTGATAAAAGGCTGCCAGATTCATGCAGTCATTTCTGTTGATCTGCTGTAACCTTTCGCAGGAGTTTCGGGTGAGAGAGGTTTCAGCGGCGACAGAGGAAGCCCGGGAGAGAAGGGCGAGCGGGGCGAGCATGGGGAGTGCGCCGTGGCCCCCAAGTCGGCCTTCAGCGCCAAGTTGTCTGAGGCGCGCAGCGCACCGGTGCCTGTAGAGGGCGCCGTTGTGTTCGACGCGCCGCTCTTGAACGAGCAGGGCGACTACAATGTGGAGACGGGCCGCTTCACGTGCCGGGTGCCGGGGGTGTATTATTTCACCGTGCACGCCACTGTGTACCGCGCCAGCCTCCAGTTCGACTTGATGAAGAATGGCCATGTGGTGGCATCCTTCTTCCAGTTCTATGGCAACTGGCCCAAACCGGCCTCGCTATCTGGTGGCTCCCTGCTACACCTGGTGCCCGGCGACCAGGTTTGGGTCCAAATGGCGCTGCAGGAATACAACGGCTTCTATTCCAGCTCTAAGACGGACAGCACCTTCACGGGGTTCCTGGTGTACTCGGACTGGAAGAACTCCGCTGTGTTCGCCGTGTAGGGGGGCGCCACTCGCATGTACGCAACATGCTTGCGCACAGACTGGAAGCGTTTGAAGAAATGTAAACACACACGCTCTCGTTCCCACGACTCGTGCTGTAGGTTAGGGGTCTCCAACTCCGGTCCTGGAGAGCTACTATCCAGTAGGTTTTCTATCCTACCTGGCTTCTGATGAGCCACAGTAGTTCTCAGGTAAATACCAGGAGCAGGTGTGGCTCATTAGAAGCCAAGTGGGACAGAAAACCTACTGGATAGTAGCTCTCCAGGGCCGGAGTTGGAGACCCCTGCTGTAGGTGTTGTATGTGTTTAGCCACTTAGCAAGTGCACAGCTCATTTAGTCAGCCGGACATTTCACTGCAGCGACACTTTTATGTAAAATAAACCACCAAAGGTTCAACAGTGGAGCCACTGGCCTTTTAGTCCTGATTGCAGTTCCTTAACTGCTATAGCAGCTGCTGCCTTTTCATGCAAAAATGAGCATATTTGACAGGTCAGTAAAAAACAATTGGGCGAATGGTATGTGATGAGGGACCAGGTGGGAGTCACATGACAGGAAGTCAAAGATCGTCAAGCAGAGCAGTGGTTAAATTCCAGACTGTATCTGACACTTAGATTCCCTTCCAGTCATCCCTAAAACGTTTGGCTCTTACCTGCAGAGTCTCTGCGATGCAAAGGCATGCCATCATTCTCCCCACATCAGTGCTGCTTTGCAGTGTTCTGGAGGCATGCAGGAAATGCGGTCTTAACCGCATGGGCCGGTCCTGCTGTCTGGTGAGATGGTGATCTCACAAGGCACCGATCCATCGGCAGCCGGCCAAAGCTGACCTCATGGCCACAAGGTGTCAGACTCCACCTTTAACTGCCTCCGGGTGGCACAAGGACTTGGACGCCGCCCGCTGGGCATTAAAGGTATAGCACACACGCATACTTGCAAATGTGACGCAGTGCTGTGTACTTTAACAACCTGACAACTTTCCATGCAGCTTATTTATATGCATGTATATGTATACAGATGCTCCTCAACTTTGGATGACTGTATGTTCAGATGAATCGATTGTAGCTTGAAAATATCTTCGAATATGAATATCATATGATACAATGTGATATGAGTGTTTAGTAGATATAATGTGTTTGGGAACATTTGGGTTAGAAAGCCAAAAAGCATTGCATGACACATGGTTCAACATTGTAAGTGATGTTAATGCTTGCAATTAACATCTCTTACACTACAGGCTGGAATTGTAGCTGCGTGGATTCTGCCAGCACCCAGAATCAGTAGAAAGTATCGCAGGGCATATCGTTAGCCAGGAAACAAAACTCAGTCTGATAAACCCTGAATGTGCTTCACTATCATACCATTATTAAGTCTAAACATTAAGTCGAACCATTACAAGGCGAGGAACATCTGTACACACACCCGGTCTGTGAACATATTCTCCACTTAAAATACTCACCAGCTGTTATCCGCAGGTCAGCTATTAAACACAACATATCTTTATACCAGCTATTCTTTCCCTTTAACTCAGACACTGTATTTCTTGTTTTTCCTCTGTGTTTCTGTATAGCCTAGAGACAGGGCAGCTCATGTCGCTGCCTTAAACCTGAAATTAAGCTTTTACAGTTTTTCTGCTGGATATACCAATCCTTTGTCATTGTCTCACAAGTCAATCGAGCACAAAGAGTCGACTTTTCCTAATTAAATCTTTTTCTCTGCTCAGTGTGATGTCTCTAATTGGCCTAAAGGTGACACCTCTGTGGAGATCAGCGCGCTGCTCTTATAGGTCAATTTGTTTCATTTATATGACCTCACATCCTGAAGGGTCTTGGCAACACATCACTTCCTGTCCAGAGCAGTGCAGCTCAGTGCTGGTGAGAGCAGATGCTGTGCCCATTTGGCCTGTGCTTACAGACAGGGTGCCCGCCATTACATCATTGTTCTTTGGCCTGAGCATTGTAGGCTGGTATTTGTACATTTTCTGCCAGGCCTCTCTCTGAGGTCAGTGGCGGCAGTCATTTCCCTACGTCAGTGTCTGTTCCTCGGGGACCCACAGGTCCTACCAGGAGCTGGGAGGGAGCAAAAATATGGACTGTCTGGCAAGGAGTTCGGAGGGAGCAAAAACATGGACCAGCTTTGGGTCCCCGAGGACCGGATTGGGAAATACTTCTCTACATCTGCAACTATCCAAAAATGTAACCACACACTTAGTGGTTTCGACTGTGGAGGATGAAAAGGGGAAAAATGACTCTACCCAGTCACATGATTTTGCTAAATTATGTACCATGAACTGGTACCTCACATCCTGTTGCATGAACTTTAAAAAGAACTGAGATAGTAGCCTGATTTTTCATTAGCTTACTCTGTGTGACCCATAATACCAGGTGCAATGGCCTGGCAGCCATTACAAACGATTACACACCCACATTACAAAGTGTTCAACAATGATACTTTCCTTAAGTTCTTAGGTAATAGTAATTCATTAACAATTAAACAATAAAGTCTCAGATGAAATGTCATTTGGTGGAGATTACTTTTTGACTTGAGCCAAATTGCTCTTGTTGACCTTTAATGGTTGTGAACAGACTCTGGAAATGCACAGATAAAACATCTGCGCTTGATAACGGTACAGTGGGGTCTCTTTTGCATTGGTCCTCTATGAGAAAAATAATCCCAGTTAGCATGGAAATCCCAAACTGTCCAGTAGGGGCCAGAAATGTCCCATTATTCACTAATCCTTTGTTTACAAAGTTCCCGTTAGAACTTAAGGGATCACCATGATACTGTCTATTAACTTCATGAGTCACATTTGATTATCGTGTAGCATCATTTTGGAATAAAATGGTTTAACTGCTTTATACAGTTAAGTATATGAACAGAATATGAACAATTTTTTGCATATTCAATAACGTTCAGGGGATTTGATTTGCATCATTCAGTATAATGATATAATTGTTTAAAATATAATTTTAAACAGTACAACACACTAACTAAACATTCATTTAACATAAGCTGGGGGAGTACAGAAGTGGTGCTCTTTAACTAGTTACTCAGAGGAGATATATCGTTGTGTTTTATTTCAAAATTCGAGGTCCTGAAACATTGAGGGGTGTATGAGCTCCTTGTGTGTGTGTGTGTGTGTGTGTGTGTTTGTGTGTGTGAGTATGTATGTGTGTGTGTGTGAGAGAGTGTGTGTGTGAGAGAGAGAGAGGGAGAGAGTGAGTGAGTATGTGTGTGTATGTGTGTGACAGATCTCCTCTTTGGCTCATGGCACTGAAATGGAATGTGTATCATTTAGCCTTACAGAAACTGCCCCCACCCCCCACCCCCAACCCCCCATGCCTCTCGGTCGCCAGCCTGGGGACATTTTCAGGGCAAGTCCATGACTGATGAAAAACATTCTGCACAGGAGCGGCCAAAATTGGAGCTGTCACTCTGTGTGTTTAGTCAGCACCGAAATGATGACTTTCAGATGGGGGATTTACGTTGCTTTTTCTGGAATCAGTTCCCGTTTTGTCTTATTTCAGCGGCCATGTCTAACGTTCTCAAATTTGCCCTCGGATTTCAAAGTCAGCAAGGTTTCTGGGAATCTCTCTGAATTATTTTTTGAAATTCAAACCAATTTTTTTTCCCAGGAATCTGGTTCATGCGAGAGAGTGAGTGTGGGCAACTTACACAGCATTAAACATAAATATGTAATTAAATGGGCTGCACAACAAAGTTAGCTGAAAAGCACAGCAGAAGCATTTCCTTCAAAACATAAAACCTACCCTATTCCCCATCTCTCTCACTGGCAGCACTCAAAGTAAAACATTTAAAGAGGCATTAAATCTAAATTTGAGAAGTTACCCAAATCCTATAAGGAATAAAAACAGAAGAAAATTATCAGATGTTGACTGGGGGCCTGTATCACAAAGTGTGATTTGCTGGTTAGCTAGATAACTTTTCAGATTTAAGGTACCCTAGTTTATATGAACTTTATCTTTATTTACTTATATCTAGCCCAGACAACCTTAATTAAATCTGACAAGTTACCTTGCAAACCCGAAAACCCAGCTTAGTGATACCGGCCCCTTGAATTACCTGGTGAAGTAAAATATGATTAGATTATAAAAAATACATAGCATTTTGCAAGTAAACATCAGCGTGTTTTTCCATAAGTTCTGATCCAGTACAGGTGGCCATGACCTTGGCGTCTATCCCATGAGGTGGGGGACACCCTGGATGAAAGATCAAGATTCAAGAGAATTCAAAAGATCTTTATTGCCAGCCCATCTTATATACATGTATATAATCGGTATGAAATATCATCTCCCTGAGCCCCGAGGTGCTACACTAATACATTAACAATATATTATGGCATAATAAGATTTACACATTGACTAGACAACATAATTCACATACTACATTTACACAGTGATATATTACTTGCTGTACAAGATATACTTCAAAATGGACGCAAATACAATAAAAAAGTACAGACACTGCATTGCAACTTTTGTCCTGATCCAAAACTTTTTTGTTTGTTTGTATTTGTTTAAAAGTATCTTCATGCAATTGCACAGTTAGAGCCATTTAGAGTCCTTAGATCACCCATGTCACATATCTTTAGCTGTTGGACAGACCTGCAGTACCTGAAGGTCACCCTGCCGCTGTGCGTTTTAATGAGAAAGGTCACAGGACGTCACGTTATTCGGTCGATGCCGTCTGAGGGAGGGCGTGACGCGGCGCAAGACCATGAGAGGCCCCTTATTTCCCAAAGGTCACAGTTGTCACCGCATGCAACGCGTCGACTGAGGCTTGCAGCCCTGGGCACAAGGCGGCCCTTTCAGCCCAGCAAACGCCCCATAAAACCCCCATTGTATCGAGAAGGCACTCAGGAAGTGGGGGCAATGCCGACGGCCCCCGCGGGCGCCTCCTATACGGCACGCGGGTGCCACGCCCACCAGAGTGCCGCTCGTCCTTGAAGGGATCCTGATCGCCCGCTAGCATACATGTGGCACACGGGGGTGGGGGGGGGGGCTCACCCAGCCTTCCCCTCCTCAAAATGACAACACGGGTGGCGTGGCTGATGGGAAGCACGTTTCTCACAAAGCCGTCGTTCGAGGCCCAGCTTTTGCTCCCCAAACCCAGAGCAAAGTGAGAGAGGGAGGTGCCAGCATTGATGCTCAGCCCTTGTTCTGACACCTCACTGATTCCTGCTGTTCTTGTTCACCTGAACCCCCCCCCACGTCTCAGAACAATTGTTAGTCTGCTGGTAGCAGGGGCTGGTATGGGCTGTGATTGGCGATGCAGTGATTAAAGACGGCCAGGGTGTCTGTACAGGGTTGTGGAGGCTGGTTTGCAGCAGCTCTCCTCTGTACTATGGTTCTGCCTCTTTCATGTGACTCATTAGCAGGGAAGCCCAAACAGCGGTCCCCCCCCCCAACAAGCTGGAAGATGTGGTAAAAAGGTGATGGCTAGAAATGGACCGCCCACTGTCCAACCACATCTCCCCCTTATTTATCATCAGAGACGCACAGACTCACTGAAAGAGGTATGCGAGTATGCGATCCCCATATCTGCTATGGGTGGAAACTAAATATGTGAGGTGATGACAGACACCGAGACAAAGGTGCAAAGGAGACGGCTATGGATAGAGAGAGCCGAGACGCTTAGATTGAAACAGTGCCAGGAATTGCCCCTGAAAGGCAGACATATTTCTTCTTGGAGTGTCTGTATTTCCCAGAATCCTTCACTCCTTCTGTATGAGGAATTCCAAGCTTCAAATATTTAACATTATTGCAACAAATCTGAACAAAAACAGCAAAGAGTCCAGTAAATTACATTTCTTAGATTTCTCATAGGTTCTTTGAGGGTTATCTCAAAGACAGTCACTATAACAGCTCCCCGCACCAAAGCCTCTGTGATGGTCAAAGACTCAAACTGTGATAAGCATCTTGACCTTGTTATGTGATCAGGAGCTCTGACACTCTAACATCTGTCAGCAGAAGGACTGGAATGACCCAAAACGTAGGTTAGAGATTATGTAAACAAATGAATTATTGAGTTGGTCTATTGATCCGAACAGGGGCACATTTTCCCTGCTGCTTCCTTCTGGGACTCCTCTCTGTCATCATTCTGGAACTTTCCGGCAAGTCCTTCTGTGCCGCAATGACCGTTTAACCACGTTTAATTGTATCAGTATGAGAAGCCACCTCGGCTCCAGTTTCGGCTGCCAAACAAATTAAGACTCGCTTGATGTAACTGTTAGAGGTAATTAGCAGAGCTGGGGGAGAAAAGCTCGCCGTAAGCTGGTATTCTGCTGAGGTCCCGGCTGAGCACCAAAGGGGTACAACTCCAAAGATCCTCTGGGGAGCCAGAGGGCGACCTTTGGATCACAGTTTAAGATAAAAGGATGATAGTTCATACAAGGTCTCCCAGTGTTGAGCCCAAGGGTCCTTCAGGAAGATGGACTGTAACAGGACTGTGACATCATCACTGCTCTGAGCCTTTCTCTGGCACAATTTGGCTGCTAAATAAATGCAGAGCTGACAGAGCAGGATTGTGGGAAATCTTAGAGACACTTACCCATGAGTGGAAGTGACTGGTTATGGAAATATCAATCTGGCTGCTGGGTTATTTTGTATTTCTGTTGGGACATTCATGATTTTTTACATTAAAACCATATTCAAAGAGGTATGTGTTTGAAGAACAATGAATACCTGAAATATATGATATTGTCGCTCCCAAATATGGGTTAAACTCTGACTTGTAACTGGAGTAGAATGTGATATTTTTATGCATATATTGGATATGTACACATAGAATACAGATTTAGAATGGGCAAAATCTTGGATGTTCTAGCACTCAGCCATATTTATTAAGTAATGATTTGGTACAGTCGCATGTAAATATCAATCTCTTCCCAAAATATTTTGACCACTGTATAATATGTCTTAAAAAGTGAAACGGCAGTGTCCATCCACATGTCAGCTGTTCATTGTTTAGAGCCGGTGCAGAATTCTGGTCGCCCTGACCTGGTCCTGAGAGACCCTGGTCTGGTAGATGTTGCTTGTGGACGACCGTGGCTCATGTCTATGGTCCTGGGGCAGAGGAGGTGGGATGTAGGGGTGGGGCATGGTCCTGACTCAGCGGGTTGCCACGGGAGACAGCTGGCGACAGATTGCCCAGATTTTGTGTGGCGGCCCATTAGAGTCGGAGGGGGTGGGGGTGGGCGAGTCTAACGTAGCGGTGGCCCAGCAGGTGGGACAGCCTCGTGGAACAAAGCCTCACGCTGAGTGACTGATCAGCATCTGTACCTCCGGTCCTGTGTGCGTGTTTAATGTACATAATGCACAGAAGCGCTCCATGAAGTTTAGCAGTATTACTAATCCAGTGTTTGCTTCTTGATAGATGCGCTTCCCAGCACAGACAGAGACTTCTCAAGATGACGAGCGCTTAGATGTGATCTGAACAAGGGTGTGAACAGGGGCGTAGTCACAGGGGCACTGGCCTCAGCTGAAAGCTGATTGGTCCCCAGACTGCCCCCTCACTTATCAATCACCGATTCAAAACATATCATTGGTTAATGAAAAGGTTGGTCCCCGTTATGACCCCCACTTAAAAAAAAATCCTAGAATTTCCCCTTGATCTGAACAAAAACAAATCCCCCCACGCCCCTGCTGTTTGTGAAATTAGAGAAGAACGTGATGGTGCCACGGCAACATTGTGTCTGCCGGGGGGGGTGGGGGGCTGTGTGAGCGCCGCAGATTGGAGCCATGCTGAGTTCAAGAGGCCTTGTCACAGCATTGCGGAGTCCCGGTCTGGGGGTGACAGAGACGTAGGGGGGGGCTTGGTGTCCCAGCTGTCCTGTCCCAGCCGATGCGGGATGCCCTGTCTTCTCACACCCCCTGCTGGCCAGTTATTCCCCCAAGCCCCACTGGTCCTGCCCCCCCCCCCGGCCCTTATCCACAGGTGCTGTCAGGGGGTTCTAACAGGAGCACAGAATTGTGGGCTTAATCAGCAAAACCCTGCTTGATTATTAACCCATTTACACACAAGTGTTGCCACGGCTACTCCCCAGCACTAACAAAAGAGCCCTGCCCCATTTAATGTCAAGCATGTGTACCAAGAGCTGTTTTTTTTTTGGTGATCGGAAACAGGCTGAAACACCTACGGTGGGTGGGATTACAGGGTGCTGTCAATCACTGACAGAATTAATTCAATTGGTCCTAATAAAAGAAACTAATTAGAAGGCCTGTGATTGGCACTATAATTCCAGCCGGTCCTGCCCCACCTCTGCTATATTGGTCTTAAATTCCTTTCAGAAAAATGATCTTGTTATTGTAATAACTGCCCTATGGGGGCAGTGTGTGGCTCAGTGGGTTAGATTGCTGTGCTTGTGATCAGAAGGTGTTGTTCACCATTAACACATGAAATGTAAAGATACCTAGTGATTCACATGTTCACAAAAACACACGCACACATAGATTCTAAGAAACATAAAAGGACATTTATTGCGCACCTGCAAAACACATTCGCCACAATGACATTAGGTTAACTTTACACGAGTAAGATTTTCAATACCCCCCCTCCAACCCCCCAACTCTGCCTTTGGAAACAGGCTCTTTAAGTGTTCAGGAAAAAATTCCTCCCAAGGTCGTGGATAGATCCCAACCAGCTTAAAAAAATGTTCCCCCAAAGCGTAACCTATATCTGAAATACATGGAATGTTCTGGACTACCAAAGGATTATCTAGCAGAGAACCAACCAGGATCCGCACGTCAGAGATAATAAAAAACAATTGGATAGATTTTTATTTAAAGCTTGCTCCTGGAATCCTTGTCAGCCATGAAAGAGTTTGATGTTTATGCGTGCAAATTGTCATTTGGGCTGCAATGTCAAAGCAGCACCCAAAAAAAAAGACACAGGATTTTACTGACTGGGGCTGTGATACGCTGCCCCCTGCAGGAAGTGTGACACATTGACAGGAGGTAAAAAGAGGAGAGGGAAGTTGAAAGACCGTGTCGTGTTTCGGAAGACAGCAGTGGAAAAACAGCGTCTTAAAACACTGCTCTAGTCGGTTGGCTGGCCCCTGTGGCATTAGATGGCATCAAATGTAACTTTGAAATGTGTTTCCTTCAAAACAAAACAAAAAATCTTAAATTTTATAACAAAGAATTTCATGTGATTGCAAATTTTTGACCCAGACGGATTCGGAGGAAGTCTAAATGTCTGTTTTTTTGACCAACACAAAGTCATATGTGTCATTCCTTAAGCTAAAGCTGAGAATGACTTTTTCTGCGGCTATGATGTTCTGTATACATAGTGTTACTGCTTACAAGTTTACTGAGTTTACTTTACAGTCTTATTCCAGTGTTTATATGCTATGCAGCTTTGCAGGGCATCCTCTCGAAAGGCCGGACACGCAACCCAACGATTGGATGTGATACGTGATAAAAACTGGCCAGAAGCAAGACAAAAAAAGTGTTTTATCAAATAAATGGAAGACAATGTGGACTCTGACAGCAGCAGTCCAGCGCAAATGGGGCCCAGATTTCAATGCCGCCGTCAACAGGTTAGGCAAGTGAGACGAGTCACGGCCCAAACAAGCCCCAAGAAGCCAAATGTTTGTCTCCTACTCGACATCAAGCAAGCCAAACCGAACAAGAACCTCCCCTAATCCCCCAAGAGAGGAAAGCTCAGGAAATCCATCCGTTTGCAAAACCACTCTCAGTCAGTTTCGACGAACCAACAAGCGATTAGCTCATCGCTTGCACTCTTAAGTACACTTAATAAGAGTATTCAGATATACATAAATGGATGTAGTCTCTTATCTTGACCCAAAACAATGGTACTGCTTCTGTCATTAGAAGTTAAGTCCTTCTACCTGGCTTCAGTCCATTAATCGTACAGAACTAACAAAGTAACAAAGTTTTTAAAAAAATAACATTTAACCAAAAAACAAACACACATTGTACGGCTGAGATGTACAGCTTGTACTCCAGTGGTGCCTCAGTAATACTGCTAGAGGGAAGAAAATATAAAGAAGTGCACTATCACCGGGAACTGAAATGAAGTTCAATCTGTCTCTTTGGCACCAGTACGTCCTGACAGATAAACACTGGTGCAGCCATAGTGTGCTCTGTGTAGTGCGAATGCTAGGAAGGCCAAGCCTGAATGCCCAGCTTCACAAACATCAAATGGAGGCTGCTTCTGACACACATAAACCAAAAAGGAACCAAAGAAATCTTGCAGGCAAAAGCCCAGTAAGAGACACATGTATTCCTGTCAGTGTCCCGAATCACGGATTAGCGCAGGAACTACTTAGCATAGCGGTTTAGCCCTGCAATCGGTGCCGCCATCTTCAGACAGGAATCTTCTTTCACTTGCCGGCACTCCCCCAGAAGTCCCGTCAGAGGTAGACGTCCATGGTATGCAAGATGGCGTGCCGGCAGAGGGGGCAGCTGTGCTGGTGGGCGGCCTGCTGCAGCAGGATGTCAGCACAGCCGCGGCACAGGCACAGGTGGCGGCATGGCAGCAGCAGCACAGTCTTGACGCAGTCCTGGCAGATCACACATTTCTTGCGCTCCTCGTGCTCCTTCAGCAGTGTGAGCAGGCTGGCGGCCGAATCGGTATGAAGAGGCATGTTCTGACCCTCCGACTGCCTGTCCTTACCAGGCGGGCCCAAGGGGGAGTCCAACGCACTATGGCCTGGTGGCGGCACCTGTGGCACTGCGCCGTCTCCGCCTTCCTGTCCTGATTGGTCCATGGGGAACTGGGTGTTGCCAGCTAGGCTGTCGGTCGACTCTGGGTTTGGTGGGTCTCTGTTGCTCCCCCCTCGGTCACCCCCGGAAGTCTGGGGCATCCTCGCCCCCAGCTGACTGCCCGGCCAGGGTGTCCGCTGCCAAATGGTCACCTCCAGGGTGGCCTGTGCCCGCTCTAGCGCCAACAAGTAGAGTCGGTAGAGCGCCCTCTGTAGGCGGCGCATGGGGGGCACGTTGTTGGCTCCAAGGCGGACTGGCCCGGGGCACAAGTAGATGGTGGCCACTGTGACGACAGCGGCGGTGAGCAGCAGGCCGTAGGCGTTGAGCAGGAAGACAGTGGCCAGGATGTGGCCGAGGGAGCTCAGGAACTCCAGGGCCAGCTGGCAAGGGGTCCACAGCAGGACAGAGGTGCCCACTAGACTGCTGTGCAGGAACGTGAGCAGGGTGATGCTGAGTTCCAGTGCCTCCTGCAGGGGCCCCGACACTGTGTCCCAGGCACTGGCTACGGCCGCCAGGCAGTTCTGTGTGCCGATGAGCAGCAGGTTCACCACGGTGTTAACCAGGTAGAGCAGGAGGCTGAGCAGGATGCTGCAGGCTTCCCACGCCTGCCGTAGCACGGAGTGCCCCGACAGCAGCCCGCGGTGCAGCAGCTCCCGGGCCCGCAGCAGAACATGTGACAGCAGATGGCCCAACATCTTGCAGCTCTCCGACACACCGCCCAGCATCTGCAGCAATCCGGACAGCAGCTGCAGGGAGCCCTGGGCCACACTGGTCACCCCCTCAGACGCAGTGAGCGCACAGAAGAGCATCAGGTTCCAACATCCAGCCGCTGAGCTACTGAGCAAGGCGGGCAGACCATGCAGGAGGCAGAGGAGGCCACCAAATAGCCGGAACAGGGAGGTGATAATCCAGAGATTCACATCCAACAGGAGGCACAGGACGTCCAGACATTTCCGAAAAGCGCAAAACACTAAGTAAATCATACCCATTTTATTTCGGCCCGGTTCAGTTAGCAGTGAAGACGGAGGAGTTTCACTTTCGAATGTCTCCGTGGGGTTTAGTTAAGGCGCCTTGCATGGGAGTGCATTACTGTGAATCCGCAGCACAGCAAAACTATCATGTCCTAGCAGTGAAAGAATCAGCTACATAGCCGTCAAATGATGATGATACGGCAAACATTTTACCCTATTATGTCAGTTCTAACGTTGTTTCTAAAAGACCCCCTACATGGCATTCTAATGTAACGGTGCAGGCGGTGAACAGTCACTTGTTTACATCCGAATTCCCATGCCCGTTCATTTGTGAAATCGGCACGGCGAAAGTTTATTAAAACAAAAAAAAAAAAAAAAAACCCAAACAAGCTGCCAGCTGACGGGCTAGCTTAGGCACAATAGACGGCAATCGTACAGATGAAACCAATCAGCCGATTTAAATCACGCGTCAGCGACAGGTGTTATGTATTATTATTGATATTATTAATAATATTATTTCTTCAGGTCGCACAGTGCAGGATAAAGTTGCTGCTATCCTCCCTCAATGTTGCCATGTTTCTTCTTTACGCCCAAAATAGGCTAGAGAGTTGATGCCCGAATTCGTGCATTTCAGGCAGACCAGAGCAATCGAGCGCAGATCTTGAAACGATTGTAGTAATGTCTGGATTTTTGGGAGTATAGTTTAGACGTATGTCTTCTGCACTGATTTTAATATACACATAATTTAGCAATTTCAGTGGTATTTACCTTAATTGCGTTTAACACAGCTTAGAAGGAATCTTGCCCAATAAGTCAGCATCGAATGTCCGTTTAAAGATGCTTTAAGTTACGGCTTACGTACTGTGATTCATGACGAAACCAAACAACGAATACAAAACAGAAATCCAATAAGCAACGAAAGTATTTATTTATAAGTGAACGTGAGAGAACGTGGCGACCCGATCAGTAGGTGGGGCAGAATGTTAATGTAAAAATCATAGTGTGATAATCATTGTTTTAAACGTAATTCTTGCAGAGCCCGGTGCGTGACGCATTAGATTACCTGGTATGTTTTAGGAATGAAAAAGATAAGTGTTACGAAATTAAGTGTCTAACGCGCAATTCGATGCACCTGATTATATGTGAAAAGAAACCGTGTAAAATTCTACAAACCTTTCCAAGGCAAACTGTGATCTTGTATTGGCCTGTTTAACTCCTTTGGCGGCTTATAATTAATTGCGTAGTTTCAAAGAAGTTGCAGTCGCACGTTTGCATGCAGACACAGATCCTAGCGCCATCGGGTCAGGTTAAGTAAGATCAATCTTTGCAGCTCTAGTTAGTGTTCTGCTAGCTGGGTGGGATTAGTCACACGGAGGTATGAAAAGTGCATCCGAAGTGTTCAGTTGTCCATCTGGGTAAGATGATCCTGTGACTGTGATCTGTTGAAAGGATCTGGGCTATTGTACTTTTCATTTGTACTCTTATTTGGACAGAATTCAGTTTTATGTTCTCTACATCGTGTCTGATTTGCATCAGCCTCCCTTATATTCTGGCTCTCCTGAGACTCACTGACAGCCTGTTTGTGCTCCCGTACAAAACCGGGGGCTTTGCTGCACGGGCTGTTTGCCAAAAGGTATCCAGATGTGCTTAGTCTTGCTCATATCTTGTATTTAGTCATTAAGTAGACATTTTTTATCTAGTGCAAAGTGGAGTCTTTGGGGTACTTTTACACTTTGCCTTTTTTCAGTATATGTGAGGATATTTTACTGAATAGAAAGTCATGTTCGTATTATGTTCAGTAATGTAATATCGAGGACCATCCTGCGAGTTGAACTTGCAACCTCATGGCTGCTGGGGTAATTTCTCAGCAGTTAGATCATGTGGATCATTCTCCCTGATCTGAGTCAGGTGCCGGAAAGCAGGAGCCAGTGCCGCTGTTTTGTCACCTGACAATGACGGGCTGACTTTGTTTCCCAACCCCCCGCCCCCCAAGCCAAAAAATTAAGTGCTGTACGTCATTTCGCTTTCCAGTCGAGCCTTGGGGCGGGGTCATTTCAGCCCCCCTAGATTGACAGAGCCGCGCAGTTATGCAGCCATGTGAAGCAGATGCAGTAAGGGGATACGCGGGATATTTAACGGCTTGTCCAGTCCACATGAGGGGGAGATACGCGTAAGCTGATGCTATCATCCCTGGAAAAACACTTCCAAACGTTCCATTTTTTGGCATATGTCGACAGGAATGCACACAGATCGCAATGCATTTAACCATCATCTCCCCTCTTTGACTCATGGTCAAAAAATGCAAATGTACATTTATAGCTGGCTTATTCCAGGTTTATTCTGTTATTAGTTTTATACTTCTTAGTTTTTTTTTTGTTTGTTTTTTTTTTAGCTGACCTTGCAAAATTTGTAAGGCACATAATCCATACTGCATGTCACCAGCGAGAGGGTGTAGCTATTCCATGAGATACTGCTTCTGCCTGGGGGTGGCTGGGTTTCAGTAGCCAATGATGGATGACTTTATTTCCTTGCTAATTTATTTGGCTCGGGCTTCACACCCTCTGCCTTAACCCCCTTGTACTCTTCCCCTCTCATTCTCTTGCCTGTGGCATTTTCTCACACGTTTGGAATTGGTGGCTTGGGAGAACGTTGGACAGACAAGAAGGATGGAAGCATTAAAAAAAAAATACATTTACCTCTAGCCTCATGTTGTAATTGTCACGGCGCGTTTGGTTTGTGTAGCTTAAATTTGTCTGAACTGGTTCATGCAAATGTGTCCGGTGCTGCCCCTAATCTGTTTTTAATGGTAACTGCATGCAAATTAGAACAAACTGTCACAAGCACATCCGCGCACCACTTTCACATATGCGCATAGTGCGTTGTGGGTAATGTTCCCAAGCTTCTTGGCAGTCGGAGCAGTAAGTTGATCTATGTGTTCACAATGGAGAAAAGACAAAAGGATGAGTGTACAAACATCAGTGCCTTTACTTTATGTGCTGTGTCACCACGATGAAGTGATCTGTAGTCTTTTAAGATCACTATCCGTAAATGTCACAAGCGGATATTGAGTATCACTGCTGGTTCATAAGTAGGCTTCGGACCGAAAGCAAAATATGAGGGACTTATCTGACTTTGTAGCTTGCCCCAAGTCTGCATGGAAGCTTCGGAAAATCTGGTGATCCATTGCGTAACTTGGCAATCAGCCACGACTGACAGAGACGCCTTATCAGATATGAGCAGATGGCATGTGCGTAGCGGCTGTGCCCTGGATGGAAGGAGCACGCTTTTGTGTCCTGTCCTATGCAATGAAATTACAACGCGGTCTTGCCCACATGTTCCCGGCAGACTGGTCAGAGGCGGAATGTTCTGCTAGGTGTTGCCCTCAAACAAACCCCTGGCGCTATGCTGGGCACTCCAGAGTGGATACCCCACCCCTTTCCGAAACCTCCCCATTTTCCCACAATCCCTGCTTTAAAGATGACATCATTAGACTGTGTTAACTGTACAAAAAGCCTGCCCTGATGTTCACCTACTTCAGGCATTTTTGTGCCCCTGTTTCTCCTGTCATGTGTTATATCTAGCATTATTTACTGCTAATGGGTAGGAATCTTCTCTTTTAATTGTTTTGTCACTTTTAACGTTAGATATATGTCAGATATAGGACCATGTTGGACCCAGAAATGAGTTTATCTGCCTTGATCCTTGGGGGCCACTTAGCTTGAAGAATGTCTGGAGATAGCGGTATCGAATTTCACATACACTGTGGTTTTCTGTGCCTTTCCTTTGTTATTTCACCAGTCCTTTCCACTGACAACTGCGCTCTCTCTCTCTCTCTCTCTCTCTCTCTCTCTCTCTCTCTGTTGCCATCTTCCCTCAGCCCCCATGTCTGGAACTGGCACAGCCCAGCTTTGAAATCTGTTTGCTGTCCCCCACCCCCCAGACACCCTCCCCCAGTCCCCCTAGATCTGCCTTTTCTGCTGTTTGAGTGGGATGAGATGATACTCTGAGAACCGGTTCTCCACCTGAGAAAGTAGGCGTCCGAAATCTGCCCAGAAAACATGAGGCCGTTTTAAGTGGAAACGATTATGCAGTTAGGGATCGCCGTGCATTCTTAATTTTTGTTGCCCAGTCCGCGGCTCAAAGGGACCAGTCAACACGAATCCATTCATCTCACCTAAAGCAGAGAGGCTGTTTTCATGACTTGTTTATCTCCTGCTTACTGTCAGATGACTGTAACTAATGGCTTCCACCCTCCAGCTGTCAAATCACTAAATACCCCAAAAGCAGTTATAATTTACCTCCCGCATCTTACACATGCACCACAGGCTTTATTTGAGCTATGCTGCACATCTCTGATTTATTTTTTTTCTTTGGTTTGGTTTTTTCTTTCTTTTTCAGTATCACTTTATTATTTATCGTATGTTTTTTTTGTTTTGTTCTTTTATTGATATGATTACTTTTATTATGGCAGAGTTGATCACCTTTCATTTCACTGTTAATCAGTCTGACTGTATACCTTGAATCTTTGAGAGGGTCTGAAATCGATTGGTATGGTCTGTGTTGACTGGAAGGTGCCATGTGACACTCAGCTGAGGAATATATATATATATATGTATATGTATATGTATATGTGTGTGTGTGTGTTCAGCTTCCTAACCTTTGTTCCCACATAAAGCACCAAATTGTAGCAGTATCCTGAAGTACGTGAGAAACCCACAGCTTTGGGAGCCATTGTCCTCTGTAAGTAGAGGCTAAATCTTTCAGTAGAGACGCCTAGAGGCCCCCCCTCCCAAGCTCCTACACCTGCCCCCCCCCCCAATCTTCAAGACTCTGAGTTCCAGAGACAATACAGGATTGCGGTTTCTGTGTTTACTGCCTGTCTTTAATGTCAAGCCCCTCCAGTTATGTGCAGTGATGTAAACACCTTCTGACATCATCTGCTGAGCTACTGGGGATGAAGAGCACTCAATAAAGAAGGAGCTCTCACTGTTTAATGGGATTTTAGGGGTGAGGTCCCAGGCTGGTGTTAGTAAACATTTTAGAAGGGCTTCACAACCCTCCAGAGGGCACCGGGGAGGGGGGGGGAGCAAATCTGCTCTCCGTTCATTGAAAGATGGTATTCACTGAGACGTGTTTTTTAATAAGTGAATTGGGATTTGCTGACTCTTACCAGTATGATGCATCACGTTAGTGGATTGTAGTCAGTATCACATTAGTAATAGCTGTCTGTGTTACTTCTGAGGATTAGGATTCATATTGCAAGATTGACAGAACACAACACCACTCAAGTATCCTGCTAAATCAGTATGTTCTACACAATGTTAGACCAGTGCTCTTCAATCAGGCCCTCGATTCCAAATCCAGGCCTTGTTTTCAGTTCTCCCAGGTAGTTAGTTTAATAATTACTGATTCTGATTGGTCAGAGGCTTCACACCCGGGCTCACAGGTGAAGGAGGGCTGGGAAATCAACAGCGCTTGGCCTTTGAGGACCGTGATTTAAATAACCCTGGTCTAGAAAATATATTTTGCTAATGCAGCAAGAATTGATTGGGGTTACTTGCGATAGTGGAGATCAGTGACATGCAGGTATGACAACATATTTGAGGCTGCTTACGTCTGTAGCCAGTTGAAGTCGTAAATGCCATCTCCCTTTTGAAGAATGATATCTGACCGCCCTTGTGAAGCACTGTCCCATTTGACCTTCAAACGACAGCAGCATAGTCAGGCAAGATTAGCAACATTTTTTGGATATTCTTTTTCATCCATTAATTTTGATGGCGAGGGCCCTGTTTAGATTTGTGGGTTCCATGCTGGGGCTTCCATCTGGAGTATTATTGTTGTTGGGAACCTGCCAACATGACTGGTGGGGCCTGATATTAATGTCCACAGATTGGGTGACCTCACAATGGGGGCGGGGCAAGTTGGCTTTCTGTGGCACTTGGTTGGCCGGGAGGTTCCATGGGGTGGCCAGGGCTGAGCCATTTAAAGCAGTGGTTTTTTTTTATTGGCCGCCACCGTTGCCACGCAAGCAGTAACGCCGCAGCAGACCGCGGGCGACGCTCCAGCGTTGTTTTCGTGAACCTCAGGCATCGCAGTAAGAGCCATCTTTAATATCTCAGGAAGTGGCGTGGCTAGTGGGGAACCCCCCCCCCCCCCCCCCCCCCCCCTGCCCCCCCCCTCCCCTTTTCCGCTAACAGCTGAGCCACAAAAACGCATCAGCCAGAGAGATCTGCTGATTTCTTTCCCCCGTGTCTGACTCCTGGGGCCTCGGGACCAGCAGAAACTCCACCCGGCACCCAGACGTAGCTGCTGGAGGCTGTAGAACGAGTCCCGAACCCCACCTGTGTGTTTAAAAGCAAACCGTTAGCGCATGTTGTCAGCCTGACTTTCCCGCCCGTGACCAATTGCTTCCGACTCATACATTTTAATTAGGGCTTGGAGGAAGGGGTGCGAGGCGACGCCACGGAAACCAAACACCCCCCCACGCCGCCGTCAAACCGCATGGAAGGCCGTCATGCTTCCCACCATTCCTAACAGTTTG